GTTGTCCAACCAGTGGAATATTAAACTTGTTTGAAAACAGTTATGCTACTGTTTCTGTAATTGCGTTTAGTGACACTAGAGGGATAGAAATGACAAAATTAAGCTTTAAAAGCTACCTAGTTATTAGGTAAATTTCACATAAACATACATTTTTCCAACCAAACACCATCTTTTTTTGTAACTTTTTTAGAAACGGAAAACTATGCATCCGTTATTTGACTTTGTACTAATAGGAAAGGTATAAAAACTACTAGTTTATGCTCTCTTTTTATGTATTTAAAAAAAAAAATCTGTTTTCTTTATTTTCTCACCGTTTTATTTAACTCCCTGGCTTTACTGTTGTGATGTTGTTGTTCAAAACAAAATTAAAAAAGAAATTTGGGGGATGGGGGTGGGGAGTTATATATATAAAAAGGTTTTTTATGAATATTTTAGTGTTATCTTCTGTCTTTTTTTACAATATAAATATGTTTTAAAAAATAAGAAGTTATGTAATCTAATACAGTTAGGTTCATGAAGTCATATTAATATAATCTATTTTTTGGAGTTAAGATATTATTGCAAACTAAAAATCTGATAAATTATTTATAGTGTTGTTTTTTCTATTTGATTTTGTGTAAAGAAACTTTATGGATTTTTATATATATTTGTCTAATGGATATAATCTATGAATCTAACAAAAAATTAAATATATATTTTTGGTGCACTGCCAGTGAACGTTGGCAGTGCAAACAAAAATCAAATGGCCCGACTGTGCCAAGAAAAAAAAACTTGGATCCAGAGTTGTATCTTGTGTTTTTCAAGTAATTTTTTTGAAGTAAAGTTATTTTTCATTTTACATTGCCGTGTGTCCAGTTCAGTTAACTGGAGCTAACCAGTAAAATCAAGTCTTGCAGTTCTCCAGTGTGACTGACGGGTTTTTGCTGTGTTGAGTGGTCATATGACCGGCTAAGCCTTAAGAAACAAGGTTTTGGAAACCCAGACAACAACAGTGGCACTTCACATCTGACTGTACTCACTTTTCATTTAATAACCACCCAGCATCAAATACTTAGAGCTCATTTGAATAAATTGGTAAGAACCTTTGTGGTAACTTCAATGCTAAATATAAGCCTTCATGACTTTGTTTAGCATCAAAACTAGTTAAGAAGCGAACTACCAGTCCAGAAACCACAGTTCATATGAAAGTTATAGAAGGGCTTTCGCAACCTGATATTGAGCTTGAGGTGACAGTGTACATCACAACTATAACCAGAGGTATCAAACAAAAACACAAACATTCATATTTGTGTCAAAACTGTAAATGTTTATTCCAAACAACATTAATTCAAGAATTCAAAGACAATTAAAAAAAGTAACAAAAAATAAACATTTCAGATGAGCTGAATAAACTGAACATAGAGGTCTTGAGTTCAAGAAACATGAAGATGCCCATCCGTGAAGACACTAACCGGCAGGATGTTCCCAAAAACAGACATTTTCCATAGTGGCCAGAGATCCTGCTGGACTGTATTTCTCATGTGTGCCTTGTTCAGCTCTGATGAGCATCTGCGTGGACGGGTGAGTTACGATTGACCGGTCAGTCAGGAATCGCTTCAGTTTTCCAACTGTTTCTCCAAGCGTTTAATAAGAGTCTCTGCAAATGTGCCGAAGCAGATTCCTCTACACACATACTAAAACCTCGGTAAACATCACAACAGCCACAGCTACTAACTTAATGCTTCTAGTCTTTGACAAACTTTTACAAGCTTACAGACTTCTCCAGGTACCTAAAAGAGATCTGTTGTCAGATTATAACTTCTCTTTCACTCACGAATATCCTCGATAGGTTTGAAACAGCATTTTTAGCAAAAGCGAGACCCCTTATACTAACTTTCATTATGAAAACAAACATTAAATATGCTTAACAGATCATAGTTTATACACCTTTGCACATGAAGTTATAGGAACATTAAGTATATCAGCTTATAATGATCAGAAAATGTGTATAAACTCAGAAATTGATAGGAAATATTACAATTAATTCCCATTGATTTAAAAGTGAAATTTGAAGTAGAAAGACTGAAATAGTATTTTCTTTTTAAACATAATGTTTTATTTACTTAGAAAAAATCATGTTTTACATTGTATCAGTGACATTTTTACTTAACGTTATTATTATTAAAGGATTTATTAAATACATTTCAGCCAATCAGTCCAAGATGCTTTAAAAATAAAAAACAGGCAGGTAACACTTTACAATAAGGTTCCATTAGTTAATAACATGAACAAACAATGAGCAATACATTTATTACAGTATTTATTAATCTCTGTTCATGTTAGTTAGTGAAAATACAGTCATTCATTGTTTGTTCATGTTAGTTCACAGTGCATTAACTAATGTTAACATGCACGGCTTTTGATTTTAATAATGCATGTAGAAATGAACATTACACGCTGTAGAAGCATTGCTCATTTTTAGCTCATGTTAACTAGTTAACTGATGTTAACTAATGAACCTTATTCTAAAATGTTACCAACAGGCATATATAAAAATGATATAATGTTTAACAGATCATTAGTTAATGCACATTAAAATATGAATATTGTACTAATGAACGATTCGGGACTATTTCAAAGCATTGTGATGATCTGTTAAGCACTGCATGATGTTTGTTACTATTGTTGAAAGTTATTATAAAACGTCCACCTTTCAGAAATGCATAGGCTATCCTCAAAAGTTTCGCGTTAAATAAAAAAAATGGATCCAGTCAGTAGTCCAAGATGCTTAAAAAAGGAAGAACCGAAACATCTGCAGGTGCAACACTCAAGAACGCACAAAACAGCATATGTAAACGAGTCCAAACAGCGTCTAAACGTAATTCCTCTTGTCATAGTCCCCGTTGGACGTTGCTCTTTTGGTGGGCGCATATTTGGCCGAGTAGCCGGAGCTTCCAGAGGAGGGACACGAGCAGCAGAGCATGCTTCCCCCGAGCAGCAGCAGCGCGGTGGCCGCCCAGCCGATGTAGAGCGCCGCGCCGATCTCCCGCTTCTGGGCCGCCGGAACCTGAGGGTTGTAGAAGTCGGAGATGATGTTGTTGGCCATCCAGCACAGAGGCACGAGCACGAACACGGCGCTGACGATGTAGATGACGCCTCCGACGTTCACCACGCGCGCCTTGACGCTCTCCGGCTTGATGCAGTTGGTGCACTGCGCGCCGGCGATCACCACCATCAGCCCCACGACGCACAGGACGGACGAGATGACCGTGAGCGCACGCGCGGCTTGGAGGTCGTGGCTGAGCGCGAGCATGGAGTCGTGAATCTTGCACTGCATCTGGCCGGTGCTCTGCACGGCGCACGACATCCACAGGCCGTCCCAGATGGTCTGCGCCACCACGATGTTGGCCTCGATGAAGGCGGTCACCTTCCAGGTGGGTAGCCCGCAGGCGGTCATCTCCAAGACCGTGCCAAAGACGCACAGGGTCAGACCCAGGATCTCCAGAGCCGCGGAGGCCATCTCTTTTATTCCTCAGATAGATCTGCGCACCTGTTGAGGGATGTGTGGAAAGGCTGCGTTCCTCTCCAGAGACTTCAGCCTTAGGTTTTCCTTTCTTCTAACCAAAGTGTTCGACTCTGAACTTTTTTCTTTTTCTTTTTTTTTTCTCTTGCGTCTCCAAATGTTTCTACCCAATGTTTTTTTTTCTCTCTCTCTCTCAAATCGATCAAAAAAACTGAAGCGCTTTGATCAGGTGGACAGCATCTCTTCGCTGCGTCTCTTCTGTGCTTTGACTAACGGACTTTTCTGGACTGAGAATAAGTGGAGTGGAATAATAGCGGTACGCCAAGAGGAGGGGTGTGTGTGTGTGTGTGTGTGTGTGTGTGTGTGTGTTTAGTACTGAAGTAAAACTTTTATCCAATCGCAGGATGGAGCATCTGTTGCTCGCCAATGAGAATGCAGAGAAGCTGTGCGTTTGAGTTTGAGGGCTATATCAATGAATAAAACAGTTTTATTTGACTTAAGGATTTATTTTGAAACTCTCCAAGGACAAAGCAACCAGAACTATGGATATGCTCAAAGAACTAAACTCCTTCTTTATATTGCAATTATTAATGTATAGCCTACCCTTCTTGTTGCTTTTTTCTTTCCTTTGTCTTTCTTTTTTTTCTTTCATAAATTGTAAATGTCATGTTGGTAATATTTCGTCATGGTTTGAATGTTAAATGTTCAGCATATACAATAATAAAATAAAATAAAAAATTTTTGCTTTCATTTCTTATAAAAACAACTCCTATACAAAATACTGTAAAAATATAATGCCACTTATGTATACTTTAAGTCAGCACCTAAACAAATACAAAAATTTAAATATAAAACTAAATATAATAAGAAAATGTAAACAAAAGTTAAAAATCTCACTTAAATAATAATTAAAAAAACAAGTATTTTGTCACAAGTCTTGAAGCGTGTTTAGACATGTTCGCTGAAAGCATTGGAAACCGACAGCTCTCAGAAACTGTGACCGGTCTCCGCCATCTTGGCTCGAATTCTCCGCTCTTTCGCCGGTCCCTCGCATTGATATTTGAGCCATAATGGCTTCCATGGTTTGAATGTTAAATGTTCAGCATATACAATAAAAAAATAAAATAAAACATTTTTGCTTTCATTTCTTATAAAAACAACTCCTATACAAAATACTGTAAAAATATAATGCCACTTATGTATACTTTAAGTCAGCACCTAAACAAATACAAAAATTTAAATATAAAACTAAATATAATAAGAAAATGTAAACAAAAGTTAAAAATCTCACTTAAATAATAATTAAAAAAACAAGTATTTTGTCACAAGTCTTGAAGCGTGTTTAGACATGTTCGCTGAAAGCATTGGAAACCGACAGCTCTCAGAAACTGTGACCGGTCTCCGCCATCTTGGCTCGAATTCTCCGCTCTTTCGCCGGTCCCTCGCATTGATATTTGAGCCATAATGGCTTCCGTTGCGCCGGGATCTCGTAGGCATTATGGGATAAGGGCGGAATTGTAGCGATTTCCGGATTCGCTGGATTGGCCTGCTGGGAAGAAAGAAAACAAGGGAGGTGGAAAAAACTCCAGGATTTTGAGTTTTATCACGCGTTTATAACAGGTAAGGGCTTCTGGCGGCTGAAAAGTTAGTTAAAGTTTCTTCGCGTTTGTATCCGGAAGTGATTAATCACTTTGTGTCAATCCCTGTGTGGCTCCAGTAACTGTTGCATGTCAAAGTTGGTGCAAAGTTACACTGAGAAGAAGTTTGATTAAATAATATAGTTGTATCACTCGATAGCCTACTTGGTTTCTCAGTTTGAAAGTGTAAGATGTGTTTTGTTTTATTGCGGTTGTGCCAGTTTTAGATGTGCTGCGTGCACTGAATGAAGAACATTTTATCAAGCAGGGTGTGGAAGAGGAGGAGGTGTTTTCACTTTAAACGAGGTGCTATAAAAATGTACCCAAGGTTATCTGTTGTTATTTAATTTATAAATTACATTGGAATTTGGCATCATGTGAATTTCGAGACATGTTGCTCAGAAAGAGGTTTGGGGGAGTCGAGGAGCTGATGGCCAGAGTTTGACAGCACATTTCAAAGTTTAACAGCACGTTCTCCGCCTGGAACCAACCTCCTCACTTTAACATGGAGCCAACATTTCGGTACATGATTCAGTTTTTTTGTTATTTATGAGAAAATTCATACCTTTTTTAAAGTACTGTCGTATCTTAAAGGGGTCATATGATGTTGCTAAAAAAGAACATTATTTTGTGTATTTGGTGTAATGAAATGTGTTTATACAGTTTAAGGTTAAAAAAACACATTATTTTCCACATACTGTACATTATTGTTTCTCCTCTATGCCCCGCCTTTCTGAAACGCGTCGATTTTTACAAAGCTCATCGGTCTGAAAAGCAAGGTGTGCTCTGATTGGCCAGCTATCCAGTGCGTTGTGATTGGCCGAATACCTCAAGCGTGTGACGGAAATGTTACGCCCCTTACCATATTGTGATGCCCTGTCCGGCCGGAGCGTGATTCAAAAACATTCAAACCCATTATAAACAAGGCAATCGTTGCATCCAGTGGGGACATAATTAAGGATTATAATTACTCATACTGTCTTTTTACGCGTTGCGTTGCATGGTGCCACGTAAACATAAAACCACGTCTGCATTTGTGATCGGAGAAATGACAAACAACAAGCACTACTCTACACTGCCCAAAAAAACTCACGTTTGAATCGTCAGTGGCAAATCCTTTAAATATAAAAAAACATACTTACAGTCTGTGAGCAGCCGGCATTGTAGTCTACTCTCCCAGGATCAGGAAACAGTCCTCCATAAAATGCGCTGCACACATCTGAATATTTGGGTTGAACTGTTCTGGAACAGTGGTGCATTCTGGACCTTTCTCTGTGCTCGCTAAAGTTAGTATGTGCTAATAATATAATATTCATGTTGATTATATATTAGATATGTGATTATTGCTTACATACAAATATTACTATTATATAATTACATTTGTAATATATTTTTGAACATTTATGTTCCAAATGCTTTGTAGTGCTTTACAATAATAGTCAAATAATGGAATGTGATGATAAAATTAGCAAAATACAGCATAACAAAGGAATATTTAGTACTATAAATTTAGTACTATAGTGTTAATGAAAAAAACATTTTTTTAAACTAGTCCAAAACAATTTCTGCTGGGTCTCAGGGGGTAAAATATGTTCTAAGAACGTTTTGCTAACGTTCCCATTATGACAACGTTATTTCTGAATATTCTCTGAACATTCCCAAAAAAATGTTTCAGACAAAAATGTGCATAAACAATTTATAAATAACATTTCTGTGCTATATAGGCCCAGACAGCTTTAAGCGAACGTTCTGTTAATGTTACTGGAAGAACGTTTGTTCATAACCTTGAGAGAACCTTAAAACAACGTTAGCCTAAGTTCTCAGAATGTTCTACTGTTAGCTGGGTATTTATAAAACAATATCTAGATCAAATGTTTTTTGTCAAACTGAATAAGAGAACTTCAGGCAGCTTGTATTCATCAGAATTATATCTTTTGGCTCATGTTATGTTAAAATAACCCTGAACCTGAATAGAAGTGGTCTGAAAGGAAATCCCCACTTTATAATGAGCAGGATTTTGGCTTTTGGCAAGACATGTGACAAGTAAACAAGATGAGTTGCTAAATGACTTCTTCATTATGAAGGACTATTAACTGTTTCTGATGAGAGTTTATTTTCTGTTTTATTGCGCAACTGTGCTTCTTTTGTGCAAATAAGTGTCTTTTGCTTCCTTTAGCAGTCCTGTATAGGTTTGCGTTGAAACTTTTGACTTTTAGGTGTTGTTTATATCATCTATAGGACACATTTTAGCATGTTTTATTCAGAGCAGAGGAGGAATGATTCAAAAACAGTGTTTATTCATTTTTTGTGCTTATTTTGTGTAAATGAGAAACCGTTTGAAGTTGAAACAAAATGGAAACGAAACTTAAATCTGGTTAAATGTGTAAAATGTTCAAATATGACTTCAGAATAGCACAAATTTAGAAGTTTGGTGCTGGTGAGATTTTTTAATGTCTTTGAAAGATGTCCAAGGCTGCATTTATTTACTCAGAAATACAGTAAAATCAGTAATACTGTGAAATAATATTACAATTTAAAATAACCGTTTTCTTTTTTTTAAATATATTTTAAGATGTAATTTATTCCTGTGATGCAAAGCTGAATTTTCAGCATCATTACTCCAGCCTTCAGTGTCACATGATTCTTCAAAAATCATTCTAATATGCTGATTTTGAAACATTTCTTATTATTATCAATGTTGAAAACAGTTGTGCTGCTTCATATTTTTATGGAAACATGATCCATTTTTTTTCTTTATTAATGAATAGAAAGTAAAAAAAAAAAAAAAGCATTTATTTGAAATGGAAATCTTTTGTAGCATTATAAATGACTTTACTCTCACTTTTGTGTATTTTGCACAATAATTTACTATTTGAAAGCATAAAACATGCATTATGCGTTCGTTGACAAGGCTGGATTTTACTAGGTGGATTGACACACTTCTGTTAATTGGATAATTGGACCCAGTTATCAGCCGATAATCTTGAAATGGTCAGTTAATCTGCAATATTGCTAGTTTAAAGTAAACTCTTTAATTCAGATAGCTACTGGAAGCTGCAGACTGTCTCTGCCATCTTGGCTCTGAATGTCATCAAAGTTCTTTCTCTCTGTTGTTTCCTCTCTTCGTTCTCACATCTCATCCCGCACTCCTGATGTGTCATTTCCGCCTGTGTTTGAAAGTGATTCCGTCCTTTGTCTTGAAAATCATTCATCAATACGCCGGAGCCACTCTTCAAAAGTGAAGCGAATTGCGCCGGAGGTCATGAGGCGCACGTTTCACTCATAAACTCAAGTGCTGCTTTGAACGGTAGTTTGGTTGTGAAACAGCAGCAAGCGTCGGCCATCAGCAAACCCAGTTTCTGATCCGACTGACTGTATATGTGGCGTTCCAGTCACATGTCTCACGAGCTTACAATCCACTAAGCTCCGTCAGGAATTCTCTTAAGAACCTCAAAACCATTTTTCCCTTTATCGTAAAAACGGCAAATCTCTTAAGTCAGGTCACAACCTACAAAAGGGTGAGGTAGAGTTGAAAGCTGGTGAGTTTGTTCAATCTTTTCTTGGTTTTGTAGTTTAATGTACGTGTTAATGCAAAAAAAAAAATCACCCTCGGTGTAACCGCTGCGCCGATAATGAGGCCACTTGATTAATCTGCAATGAGTTTATCCTTGCCATAATTCCCAGCCAGCAATAACAAGACCTCCCAGAGTGTGTGTGTGTGTGTGTGTGTGTGTGTGTGTTTGTGTGTGTGTGATAAAATAGGGATTGCAGTGTCCTGTATTATAAAAGCAGCACCGCTACACCCACAATCTGACATTCATCCTAAATTAGTTTCCGTACTTTCCTGAAAAACACTTTGACTCTTGATTTTTCCTGTCTTAGAGCAGAAACACTCATGATCATAAAAATGAAGAGCTCAGTCCAACCTTCTTCCTTGTTTTGTACTTATTTTGTGTAAATATTAAGGTTAGAGCCAAATGGAAACGAAACCTAAATCTGATTTAACATTGTGTAAAATGTTGAAATATTCACAAATTTCGAAGCATGATGATTTTTTCGAATAGAACAAAATTACTGAATTAAAGTGAAAACATTTTTAAATTGTTTTTTTTTTAAGAACTCTCTTCTGCTCACCAATGCTGCATGATTATATGATTGCAGTAAAAACAACAATATTGTGAAATATTATTGCAATTTAAAACAACTGTTTTCTGTTTGAATATATTGTAAAATGTAATTTATTCCTGTGAAGCAAAGCACATTTTTTGGGAGTAGAAACACTCATGATCATAAAAATGAAGAACACAGTTCAACCTTCCTTCTTGTTTTGTACTTATTTGGTGTAGGCCTAAATAAGAATAGAAAAAAATGGAAATGAACCCTAAATCTGATTAAGCATTGTGTAAAATGTTCAAATATTCACAAATTTCATAGCATGACCACTTTTTTTGAATAACACATAATTTGCAGAATTTAAGTGAACATGTACATATATATATATATATATTTTTTTTAATAGTCTCTTCTGCTTACCTAGGCTGCATTTATTTGATTAAACATACAGTAAAATCAGTAATATTGTGAAAGGTTATAACAATTATTGCAGTTTAAAATAATATATAAAATATACTGAATATGTTTTAAAATGATATTTATTCCTGTGATGCAAAGCTGAATTTTTTACTTGTTTAGTATAAATGAGACAATTGAAACAAAACCTTACAAAACAGTGTGTAAAATGTTTTCACAGAATTATTGTTTTTGAATAGCACACATATAATACAATTTAAAAGTTTGGGGTTGGTATTAAGATTTTGTTTGCTTTTAGTCTCTTCTGCTCTCCAAGGATGCATTCTGCTGT